CTAGCCCCGGCTCTCCGTTTGGATCCAACCGGAGCACCGAGCCCTGGTTTGTTATTCAGGTTAAAGTGGGAAGAAGCAGTGGGTTTATCGGGCAGCTGAGTGAAGTGGAGCCTGAGGAGGAAACACCGGGACCGTCTGGATGTAATAGTCCGTGGAGGTGCTGCGGTGCTCGGCTGCACAGATAGGAAACCCCTCGGCTGACAGGATGTACCACTCTCTCACTCCGCTCTCTCTCACGCAGGCGCAGAACGTACGTGCTACTTGGCCGTCGGCTGTAGTCCGTGTAGTGTGTTCAAATGCAACTGACACAGGGCGACGTGAGGCGACGTAGACGACGCAAAAGTTGGCTTTCGTCGCTGCTAGGTCTTTGATGTCGGTTTGGTGTGTCTACACCTTTACTCAAACTACAGGCTGTGCTAATGCATTTTCATTTTGCCCACCAGCTGTGCCGCCACCACAGACACAAAGAGTACAGAGGTAAATCAAGAGACAGACCCGCCCACCCCTCTCTCTCTCTCTCTGTCTCTCTCTCTCTCTCTCAAACTCCAACCATAATCTGATGAAACGGCAAAGTTAAGCAGTGCTGATCGAAAATAATTCAAGATTCTGTTTCTGTGTTGCAGATTTCTCACCTAAAATGTTTTCAGAGACATACTTCAGCCTTCAGTTTAACTGTAAGACAAAATTGTTACCAGCCGTCCATTTTCTGTCATCATGTTGCACCAGTTTCAAAAGTATCTGAGTCTCTCTGCTGCAGAGACAGACCAGGTTTATGAAAAGATGATCTTTCCAGCAGTCTTTAAATATCCATTTTGAATCATATGGAACATTTTACTGTTTAATTTCCCAACCACTGCTGCACCTACACTCCATTTGGGTTGAAGCAGGAGTTGAGAGTATCAGAGCTGTTTCAATAAAACTACCACAAATGCCTTTTGTATTATTATGGTTCATGGTGTTCATTAGCATCCCGACCATGTGGTGAAGTAGGTGTTATTAGCTGCTATTTCCTGCCCTGCCTCACTCACTAAACTGTCATAAAGGACAATTGCATAATATCAAGTATTATTTAATGCCCTCTAAAAATACCACTGTTGTTTCAGCGCTGAAGCACCTCAGTGAGATCGATCCTGAGTGCAGACCAGACAAGCGCTCGGCTCACCCAAATCCTCAAGTGACTCACACGGGCGCGCACACACTCGAGGGTACACAGACACGAGTGCGCACACAAGAGGGGAAGAGTATTGTGGAGAGAGTGTAGTGGACACAGAGCGTGGGAGGGCAGTGAGAGCGAGTGAGGGAGGGAGGAAGAGACAAAGAGAAAGATGCAGCAGAAGAGATTGAAGACAGTGTTGCTGTAGGGAGTTGACCACTGGTATGTTTGGCTTTCTTTCCTGGAGCAAGTTACACATTTCAGTTAATCATATATAAATATATATTAAATCTGATCCTGAGAGAGACACAAACTGAACCAAGATACATTTTACAAAAGCTTCTCCATCACTTTAACCCTTCACAACCAGCTATGTGTCTCTGTAGGTTATGCAAAGTCCTAAGTCCTGCAGTTCGCTGTAGCTGACGGTGACTTTGACCTGGTTACATGTGTCTTTCTCTCTCTGGTGACTACATTTACATGACATCAGAGAAAATGGATTTGCTCTGTCAGTCCGACTAAAACCGGAATTTTAAAACCCCTGTAAACATGTCAGTGTGAGTGAAATGGTCCTGCAGTGAATTTGTCACAGTGGGACTAACACACCCAGATCATGTATCCTGCATGTATACAGTCAATCAGACCCAAACTGGCCGAGGTGCTCTGAGCATGCTCCACAGTTTCCGCCCCGGGCTTTGACCCGGAAGTCCAGTAGCATTAAATGTGTAAGAGAAGAAGAAGCCGGTAACAACATGGAGAAATCTACATCCAGAACCGTGACTTTTTGGACGGACCAAATGTACAGAGCTGTAAAGTTGTCCACCATGGTAGCAGTTAGCTGCTAGCTAACCGTAGCTAACTTGTTTGTCCATTGTTTGGTCTGTGATGTAATAGGTCAACAGGAAAAAGGTCCAATACTAACAAGCTGAAAGGGGGCATATCTCCACCTATCGTAGAGGAGTCGTACCCTGGAAATCCAGAGTTCTCGCGAGAGCACAATTTGAATTTGCTCAGCGAGTCACTCTGGCAATCAGTAATGATGCTCATTACCCATGCCATTGGAGCCGAGCTGCACCAATCACATCGGTGTATCTGATATAGGCGGGCCAGAGGCGAGCTAAACAGATAACGACAGCGCTGTGATGACAAAGTTCGGAATCAGTCAGTAAACATTGCAAGATGGCTACGGATGAACACGAGTTGTTTGAAACGGCTTTGGCCGCTACAATGAACGAGTTGGCTTTTTCTCTAAAAGAGGAACAGAAGACGGCGCTCGAATCTTTCCTTTGCAAGAAGGATGTTTTTGCTGTTTTGCCGACTGGATACGGCAAGAGTCTAATCTTTTGCATGCAGTGATATTTTCAAATGCATGCTCGGTGCCGCCCCTCGAGTTGGGCAATTTGCATTACTCATAGCCAGACCCTAAATCTTTCTAGATTTGGGTCTGGATTTCCAGGCTAGAGGAGTCGCACATACTTGGCTCAATAAATGGATTCCCCTCCCGTGCTTGTATACTGGGACAAGGACAGTAGTCTTATCGAGCTATATTTATTCTGTAATCAGCACACTGACAAACATCCTACACACTCTTTAACTTCAGTTACAGCTGATACACTATGATGTGATAAAACACACGACAGTATGTCTCCACTGGATGGATCCTGTCTTTGGCTAATCGCTTTTCCTCTCACTGACACACAGTGCAGGTGAAATGGATATGACCTGTTAAAGTGCATATTACTGATGCATCACTCAGTACAGGTTGTGTAGAAGGAGTCCTGATCTGATTATGCAGCATCAGATATTTCATATACAGTTAGTTTTAAGAGCTTAGCACAAGATTTTAGTGGAAAATTTAATCTTTAAAAGATCCAAGAAGTGGTGTTGTCATATACATACATTTATTTATTCATTCATTTTCCATAACCGCTTATCCTGTTGGGGGTCTTGGAGGGGCTGGAGCCTATCAGAGGATGTATCGTGACTCAGGTGTCGTGATAATATCGCATTGTGGGGCCTGTGGTGATTCCCACCCCTGGGTACATGTACCCCTGGTTAGGAGTCACTGTAATGGAGGATGACATCCAGCTTTAAGTTGCATTACAGTCTCCCACTGTTCCGTCTGTTGGCCTCAGATAGCCCTTGTTGTAGTGGGGGGTGGGGGGGGGGGGAAAGCACTCATCCCACTGAGTGAAGTTTTGTGTTGGGACACCACTACATTTTAGAGGCTCATGCAACACAACGGGGGAGGATTTGAGGGCAAATTGGAAGAAATGGGACGCAGCACAAGTACAGGCTGTCCTGTCTCTTCTTTCTGAGCCAAATAGAAAAGCTTTTTTCTTTTCCCTCCCTTCAGGTACTGAGCTCTACTTTAACCTGCAGTCAATGCAAATGGAAACAGAAGATGAGAACCTAACTTTGCGTAGAATTCATGAGCTGTTGAACTGCGGTCATGTTGGCTGCAAACATAATTAAAGTTTCCATTAAATTCCATCAAATTTGATTTTCAAGTTTTTTATCACATATCAATTGGTTTCCTGTTTTGAAGCCTTGAGTTTGGCATTTTGGTCACGGCGCATCTTGGACTTTTGGAGCCAGATGTGACCATATTACAGCAAGAGAGTGGAGCTAAGCCAAATGTTGTGTTCACACCAAATGCGATGCAGATTTTCACGTCACGTTACTCGCGCAAGTTTGGACACGAGAATATTTTGTGTTGACTCGCATCATACACATGAAATTGCTGAATTAATGGATAAAATTGGCCAGTACGTCCTCTATCTTATATTTCAATGCTGATTTACGATCGTGGCATGAAGTGGTTGCTGAAGTTTAGATTTTTCAACTCTCGCGAATAAGGGTATGACACAAATTTGTGCTACTTGCGTCATTCACGTCACTTAATTCGCATATTTTGCATGATTAGCATTGCATCCCTCAGCAGGAATTTGCATCTAATCTTGGCCTTACATTGACTTTACATGTAATTCACTTGCACAAATTGATTTATTCTCCCCCCTTTTGTCATAATATGGTCACGTTTGGTTGCCATCAAGTCACTACCACTGCGACAATAATGTATCCATGGTGTAACCCCAGATTAACAGTACAGACGTAGCCGTAGCTGTTGCTATTTCAGTGTGTCTTTAGATCTGGAAAGCTAATTGAAATGTTTTAGTCAGCTAAAAAATCTTTGTTAAGTGGCAGTTGTCTTTAAAGACCCTTGAGGAGCTGGATGTTTGTTTTTGAAAGCAAAAATTAGCATTAGCATTGTCACAGTTAACAAAGCTCGAAATTATATGTGCTAACCAAGCTAGCAGCTAGTGTTAGGGTTAGCTCCACCCTCTCGTTCAAAAATGGTCACTTCTGGCTCCAAAAATCCAAGATGGTGCCAGCAAAAATGCCAGACGTAAGGTGCCAAAACAGGAGTCCACAAACCAATAGGTGGTGTCACGGTGGCTACGTCCATTATTTTATACAGTCCATTGGAAGCACTCACCTGGCACACTGCTTGCTGTTTTAAGGGACTTTTATTCATTAAAGCTGATGAATTTTTCCTAAAGTGGGAACATGCAGCCCCAAGGACACGAAACAAGCCAGCTGAATATATCCTGTGGTGCTGAGTGAGTCTACCGGGTTTGGCAGCACTTGTTTGTACCCTAACATTTAATGGCCTCTGTTCTCCCCTCCTGCAGGTGGAATCGTTAAGCAGTGGTTATAAATCAGATGTACTTCGTTTGTGTTCTTGCTGCAGGGCACGGTTGTATGGAGTGTGTCTGACTGCTATTTAACAGTATAATGTACTGTATAAATTAACTCTGGCCTCCCTCTCCCCCGCTGTGCACAGGTAGAAAAGCCCTACATCAAGCTGCAGCCATGGATGAGATGGACCTGCCCCAGATGAAGAAGGAGGTGGAGAGCCTCAAGTACCAGCTGGCCTTCAAACGAGAGAAGTCCTCCAAAACAGTGACTGAGTGAGTACAAGCACCTGCACTGAGTTCACCTCCCAAAAACCAACTGTGATGAGTAGCTCTGAAATAAAATAGCTTTGGTTTTACTAAATACGCCGAGTACATAAAATCTGTGATAGTTCACAGTTTCAAAGTGTGCAGAAATTTAGATATTACTCATCATATCACAGAGTCTGTAGCTGAATATCAGAAGTACAGGACAGGATTTTTCTGCAAAGCTTTTTGCCCAGAAGTAGCTGAGAAGGTGAAAACCACTCTCATGTCTGTACATTAAATATGAAGCCACAGCCGGCGGCAGTTTGCATAGCTTAGCACAAAGACTGGATACAGTTAGCCTGGCTCGGTCCAGAAGGAACAGAGAAACAAGATATCTGTTGTTAAGTTTCCGTCCTTCAAAATTTCAATGTTCCCGATAAACGATCCGTGTTTGTTGAATAGACTTGTGTATAGTATTGTAAAAATAAATATTACTGAAGACCCTTTCATCTTATTACCTGGAGGTGCAGCTGCCTCTCCCCCACAGGGCTGTAGGCTCCATAGGAGTGTTAAAATGTGTTTGTCTTGTTGTGTTATTGGGAGCCAGAATAGAAGGAGTCATGGCTCAAAACCAGCCGCCACTGCCCGTCAACAAAAACAAAGACAACTATGGTTAAATGTGATAAGACCAAAGGACTGGACGGAGGCCATCATCAAAAATGCTCACATGTGCAGCGCACACTTCATATCAGGTTAGGGAAAAAGTATTTCCTGTTGTAGGGATGAATAAGGTTATGTGTATTAAGGGTTATCATGTCCACCTCATCAGAAACTGGGGAGGGATTAAGAGGAAGATTGGATTTCTCTGCAACGCTAACTTTTTAGCACATTAGCTAACGTTAGCTTCCATAGCAAAACAAACAAGTGTGGTCCTCCTTTGTAAGATTGGCTTCCTGTGACATCATCCATCCACTGAGTGAGAGCATACGGGTCGGCCAGTCTGGTCCCGTTGGTCAGTGTTTACTTATTCAAGTAACACTGGCGGTCCCGGAGAGTGAGTGACCTGACATGGTGCGTTGGTAAATTCAGTCTGACGCTCTACACTAAAATGAGAGCCCTGTTGGTGGAAGAAACGCAGCGTTATATTTCTACATGAATGAACCAACGGTTGAGTTAATCACACATTCACTCCGCTCGGCGCTCTGCTGCTCCGTCTCCACAGACAGAGTGTCCAGAGTGCGCTCTGACACTCTTACTGTGCGTTCACACCAAATGCGATGGACGCGATGTCATCGCCCGTAACGCGAGTATAGCGTCGCTTGATCACAAATGTCACCTTTTTGATCATCGCTTCAATCGCGATGACGCAAACCTCCTCCCGCAATTTTCTTTACCTCCCGCTATTTTCTCGTCAACCATGGCTGAGTTAACTACCGTAGCTGCTCTGTTGTGGACATCTGATTTGGATCAGAGACCCAAACACCGTCGTGTCTGGGTTCACAATATCCTCCAGAAACGCACACAGCTGGGTGAATATCATCACCTCCTGCAAGAGCTGCGTCTGGATGACGGTCGTTTCCAGCCGTACTTCAGGCTGATGCTGGCCCAGTTTGAGGACCTGTTGGCCCGCTGATTGGATGTCGCGGCACAGCGTCACGCGATGTCTCTTGAAAAGTTCAAATTTTTCAACTTCAAGCGACACACGCGACGAGGCGATGAACGCGTCATCGCTTCATCGCGTCGCTCTCATTGCCTGAAACGCGTCGCCCGAAGCGACATCGCGTGTCATCGCGTCATTTACATTGATTTTGAATGGAAACTTGTGGCATTCATCGTGTCCATCGCGTTTGGTGTGAACGCACAGTGAGAGTGCGCTGCTCTGGATAACCCAACGCTACATTCAGACAGCGCTTGAATTTACGAACGAATGAAAGAAGAAGCCGGTAACAACATGGAGAAATCTACATCCAGAGCCGTGACTTTTTGGACGGACCAAATGTACAGAGCTGTAAAGTTGTCCACCATGGTATCAGTTAGCTGCTGTTATTATTTACAAAACGTGCACACATAAATAGTAATGTTTGTTCAATCATTGTGTTTATAGACTTTATAAACATCAGATTAGTCTAAACGGTGATATAGTGACGTGAAGAATGTGAGATATTCATATATATACAGTACAGGCCAAAAGTTTGGACACACCTTCTCATTCAATGCGTTTTCTTTATTTTCATGACTATTTACATTGTAGATTCTCACTGAAGGCATCAAAACTATGAATGAACACATGTGGAGTTATGTACTTAACAAAAATAGGTGAAATAACTGAAAACATGTTTTATATTCTAGTTTCTTCAAAATAGCCACCCTTTGCTCTGATTACTGCTTTGCACACTCTTGGCATTCTCTCCATGAGCTTCAAGAGGTAGTCACCTGAAATGGTTTCCACTTCACAGGTGTGCCTTATCAGGGTTAATTAGTGGAATTTCTTGCTTTATCAATGGGGTTGGGACCATCAGTTGTGTTGTGCAGAAGTCAGGTTAATACACAGCCGACAGTCCTATTGGACAACTGTTAAAATTCATATTATGGCAAGAACCAATCAGCTAACTAAAGAAAAACGAGTGGCCATCATTACTTTAAGAAATGAAGGTCAGTCAGTCCGGAAAATTGCAAAAACTTTAAATGTGTCCCCAAGTGGAGTCGCAAAAACCATCAAGCGCTACAACGAAACTGGCACACATGAGGACCGACCCAGGAAAGGAAGACCAAGAGTCACCTCTGCTTCTGAGGATAAGTTCATCCGAGTCACCAGCCTCAGAAATCGCAAGTTAACAGCAGCTCAGATCAGAGACCAGATGAATGCCACACAGAGTTCTAGCAGCAGACCCATCTCTAGAACAACTGTTAAGAGGAGACTGCGCCAATCAGGCCTTCATGGTCAAATAGCTGCTAGGAAACCACTGCTAAGGAGAGGCAACAAGCAGAAGAGATTTGTTTGGGCCAAGAAACACAAGGAATGGACATTAGACCAGTGGAAATCTGTGCTTTGGTCTGATGAGTCCAAATTTGAGATCTTTGGTTCCAACCGCCGTGTCTTTGTGAGACGCAGAAAAGGTGAACGGATGGATTCCACATGCCTGGTTCCCACTGTGAAGCATGGAGGAGGAGGTGTGATGGTGTGGGGGTGTTTTGCTGGTGACACTGTTGGGGATTTATTCAAAATTGAAGGCACACTGAACCAGCATGGCTACCACAGCATCCTGCAGCGACATGCCATCCCATCCGGTTTGCGTTTAGTTGGACGATCATTTATTTTTCAACAGGACAATGACCCCAAACACACCTCCAGGCTGTGTAAGGGCTATTTGACCAAGAAGGAGAGTGATGGAGTGCTGCGGCAGATGACCTGGCCTCCACAGTCACCGGACCTGAACCCAATCCAGATGGTTTGGGGTGAGCTGGACCGCAGAGTGAAGGCAAAGGGGCCAACAAGTGCTAAACACCTCTGGGAACTTCTTCAAGACTGTTGGAAAACCATTTCAGGTGACTACCTCTTGAAGCTCATGGAGAGAATGCCAAGAGTGTGCAAAGCAGTAATCAGAGCAAAGGGTGGCTATTTTGAAGAAACTAGAATATAAAACATGTTTTCAGTTATTTCACCTTTTTTTGTTAAGTACATAACTCCACGTGTTCATTCATAGTTTTGATGCCTTCAGTGAGAATCTACAATGTAAATAGTCATGAAAATAAAGAAAACGCATTGAATGAGAAGGTGTGTCCAAACTTTTGGCCTGTACTGTATGTAGCTAAAGTCTGCTGGTTTTCTACTTGGAAGTATTTGTAAACAACAAGGCGATTCCCTCCGAAGGGACACTAACAACTCAAAGTACACGTGAAATAAAATTTCTCCAAACATGTTTCATGTAATTATTATCACGCTAATGTATGTTCAAGTGTCCATTTCCCCCGATAAGTTGGTTTTAATTCGTTATTTGATTCTATAAACACAGTCTGACCATCTCGAGCTTTTAGTTTGGTACTTCTGGTGACCGGCAGTGTGAATTTGCATATTAGCTAAATATTTAGTTTCACCCAGAACATTTAGATTTAGATTTAGCATTTAGATTTAACATTAAGATTTAGATTTAGATTTAACATTTAACATTTAACATTTAGATTTAGATTTAATATTTAGATTTAAAATTTAACATTTAACATTAAGATTTAGATTTAACATTTAACATTTAGATTTAGATTTAACATTAAGATTTAGATTTAGATTTAATATTTAGATTTAGATTTAATATTTAGATTTAACATTTAACATTTAGGTGCCGCATTTAATATTTAGATTTAACTATTTATTATATTTCACACTTTTTTATACATTGTTTGAAGCTAAATGTGGCAAAATGTTAATGTTATTTTCAGCATGAGCCACTTTACAAACGGCACCCGAAATGTATCGTATCCATGGTTTGCAGAAACCTAAAATATGAACATGGATTCAGGTGATTGGGTCAGCATCACATTTAGCAACTTAAATCACAGTTCAATGACCACTGATCCGACTCTATCCGCCAAAAATAGGCTGTGTGATCTGCTTGAAAGCTCCTGAATAAGTAAGTGGACATTGAGTTGAGGATGTTTAACCCACTGCTGTTTCCAAGGTAACTCAGAGGGTTATTCAGTTAAACACCAGTATAATAAACGCTGCTCGCAGAAGGCCGCAGACTCTGCTGTTGTTCATTGTAATAAGTCCGATGATTGAATAAACACAAAGACTTTGGATGTGACGGCATTAGTCACTCCACCACAACAATAAAACAGTGATGTGACTTCATTAACTAATGCTGCCTTGAAGGCTATTGTCACAGCCGCGGTGCACATCGAATCATTAAGCAAAGCCGCAGCCATCATTAAGTCCTGTTCAGCAGTCTCTTTATGTGTCTCGTGCGCTCACTGCAGCGCCAGTCGATTAAGGGCCAATCAGAAGAAACACTTCATCTGAGGCTTCATCAGCACCGCCAGACGGGACTGTCTGCTTTTAACGTAGAGTACAGAAGTGTTCGGGGTCAGTGCTGTGAAACCCTGCATGAAAATACTGTGACTATAACGACGATGCAGTGACGGAGGGAGGGCTTTGTTTTCCTCCAGTAAAGCTCAGTTACAGATAATTAACTGGATTTAAAGTGAGACTGTGTAACCTCTGAGGAATAAACAACATATTCTTCCTTTTACAACTGAGAAGTTAAAGTCCTGAAACAATAAAACAAACCTTTACTAATATGAGCTCCAGCCTTACGTGGTCTGGTATGACAGGTAGCTAATGTTAGCAAACATGAGACAAATACTGCTGAAATGACTGAGTCATAATCTCCGTACTTGGGCTGCTGCCACATAATGTTGTATCTTCACAGACCTACATCCTAATGGTTTAATGACAGGAGTAAAAAAGGAGGTAAACACATGATGTTAATTGAAATGTTTATCTGTGACACACCAAAATAGTGTAACAGTAAACTAAGATGGTGAAAATTACAAAGCAGCATCTGTCTAAAGCCCAGTTCAGACCAAAGATTCACGGCGACACAAAACTGTTTTAGAGAAACGTAGCAGCGGTCTGAGCTCGACCCAAACCGGCTGATGGCGTCCCTGTCGAACCCTCTGTTTCCATCCTCAATTAACTGCTTGGCAACCAGACCAGGCCTCTAATTGAGACGGGTCTTTATTAGTACGGTTCAGCTCAGTCTGATTGGTCAGTAGAGGACGGTCACTCTGCTCAGGGCTGAGTTGTGTCTGGTTTTGAGGCTCATGTAACCACTGTTCATACTGTGGAGAGTTTTATTAGTAAACTGTAACTATAAAAATAAAGGATGTTTTGCTGCCTCTCACAGCAGCTGGAGTCTGAGAAAAAATAACTTCATTCACTGGGCCGACTGCCGGCAACTTTTAAGGTGGAACGTTAACTTGTAATGTTTCTCAATGCATGAGTTGATGACGTGAATCCATCAGCACACCTTAAATTTCACTGTGACAACTTTGACCATCACTTTAGTTTTTATATGACACACACTTTTAGTAATGACTTTAAAAATATAGATTAATTTGGAGCGGATTATGTGAAGGTCATATATTCTAATCCTCACTTCCTGTGGGCTACAGCAACACTAAACCCCTGAGCTTGCCTGAGAAGGACTAAAAGCACAAAGCTGCTATTTTTAAATATCCCATGGAGAGAGACTCTCACTGCAGCCTGTTCTATTTTGTTCTGAAAATGTGGGCGTGCAGCCTCGTTCTGTGGACGATAAACCAGGTGCAGACTGATAAAGGAGGAAATACAGTGAGTGCTGGACGGAGCAGTGAGTGACAACAACCCCGCCCACATTTAAGAGGACTGTCTGTGGTGGAAACACTGTCTGAAGGGTTTCTGTTGGTCCCAAAGGTGCTGTATTGAAAGTGTTTGTTGGAAACTGGGCTTAATTACCATGCACAAAACCCAAAGTGTAAATACAACATGTTGTAGTTCTACGTGGGGTTTTATTTTGGACTACAGGTTACTGCACCTAGTCGAGCTAAGCTAGCTATCTGTGTGGTAGCTTCGTATGTGTCGTACAAACATAAGAGTGGTTTTGATCTTCTCGTCCAAAGTGAATCAGTGAACCTCACAAAATACTGAACAATCCTTCAGTGGAAAAAGAAAGTCATATAACTCATGTCTTTGTCACTGATGTACAGTGTGTTGGGAATGGCTCATATGATTTCAGCTGCTTTAAAGTTCAGTGAAATAAAAGGACTTAAGTAAATGAAAACTTCCTCCAACAGTACACAGAGAGCTTCAGCTGCAGGAGTAAATGTAATTAGTTACTCCTGGTTGCTGAGCTTCTCCCTGTATTTCTTGCCTTGTATGGACAAAGAGGGACGGAGGATTGATTGTGGTAATAAACTTCCTCTGGAATCTGAAAAATGTCTCTGTCTCCCCACAAAGTTTGGTAAAGTGGATAGAGGACGGCGTCCCAGAGGACCCCTTCCTGAACCCGGAGCTGATGAAGAACAACCCGTGGGTGGAGAAAGGGAAGTGCATCCTTCTCTAGAAGAAAACCCATCATCCTGCCACGACCTTCAACTCCAACCACGCTGACCCACACACACACCTACAGATGACCCCTGAAGGACAGCTCCTCCTAACCTCTCACCGTGAATGTACAACCGCTGATGTCCCCGAAACACACACTCCAACAAGGGCATAGAAACACACACTGACAGAGACACACACTCCAAACTTTGGGTTTGTCCCTGACTGCCACACGTTCACTGCAAGTTTTATTCCTGCCACGGCATTGTTACTATGATATATGAGGATGATGATGATCAGTACTGCTATTACATGTCTCTGTATGATATATGATGACTTATTTATGCAGCTGCCAGCCACACGCTTTCTACTCTTCTTCTTCTTCCATTTCTGATGAGTTGTAATAAACTGTCGTCACGTTCTCACTGCCAGACTGACTCCAGATCTGCTGGAGGAATTCTGTTCAACACTGAGATTAGGGTTGCGGCGATATATCGGTTTCAAGGTATATCATAATATAAAAGTTGACGGTTATCATACCGTGTACTTTATCTAGGATACTGGAAAACAAAGAATCTTAACTTTATTTTAGTTATTTTTTGACTTCTTAAACAAACTTACGATAACAAAGTGGTTCCAAGTTTTAATTAAAGTAATAAAACGTTTGTTCAACCAAAAATAATCCTTACATTTTCATTATTTAAATGGTCATTCTGACTGTTAATAATATAAATTCTGTGATACCGCGATATTTTCTGAGACGGTTGTCGTACCGTGAAAATCTCATACCGCTGCAACCCTAATGGAGCAACCACTTTCCCTTACAAAACAAAAACAACGATAAAAGATTTCGTACTTTTTGACTGAATGTTAGTAGCGCAGGTCTGTGGTCGACAAATAACTTCATTAACACCTTGTTAAAACTAAACAGTCCCTAAGACTCTACAATTATTTATAATTAAATGAAGATCATTGATTTAGTTTTACAGGCCCCAAATTTAGAAATCTAGAAAGTTATAAATCTAAAAAGTTAGTAATGCACCTAACAAATACATCAGCCCGATATGTAATGGACATTAAAGGGATCGTTCAGATGTTTTGAAGTGTACAAGGTATTTATTCACAGTCAGTGTAATATCTACAGCAGATGGCAATTGGCACGCCCCCAGTGTGGAGTACTGACACAGACGCTAAGCAACGTACTGCTGTGCACGACGGCAGCAGCAAAATATGTTTAGCTACCTAAAAAATTGCTATCAGTTTAAGCGTACGCTATATTGAGAATATTTTAGACAGCACTTGCCAACAGGGGAACTAAAACCTTTACATCACCAGACTCCATTGACAAAAACAGTAATTTGCCTCACAGAACACGGGAGTTGCTGATCTACCGCTGCCTCGATTGGTTAGGTCGTGTTATAATCCTTTATATTATCTTTATTTATAAAACAGAGTTACAAAGTGCTTTACATGTCAGTGATTGAAACAGACGAGACATGAAAACAACAACTGATAAAAACACTGTGGTATGTTAAAACTGAGGGAATAAAAGACAGTTTAAATGAACGTGAAACTTGAGTCGAATCAGAAAAGGCTCACCGATAAAAGTTTGATTTAAGAACGGACCTAAAAGAGATCACTGACTCGGCCAGACCTGATTCCCTAGAGCAGATTGTTCCGGAGCCTCGGGGCCCTGACAGCAAACACTCTGTCCCCTTTAGTTTTCAGCCTCTGGAACAGACAAAGACCTCAAAATACGTCCTGGCGTGTACGGCACTAACGCCGGAATTCCACTGGATGCGTGTCCGCTGCGGAACGACTGCGCTGGTTATCCACTGCGTGCTCCGCCGTCTGTCAACACCCACTGGCTGAGTTTGCTGTGCGGAGTCACGAGGACCCACGAGATATTGCGAATTCATGCGTAATCGTGCGATATAACAAGATGTAGTTTGTATAAACAGAACTACAAAACCAGAGGAGTAGTAGGAAGACATCTGGGTGCACCTCCATGATTAACATCTCCTCATCCATGGTGTCAACGGGGTGAAATGACGTCTGAAAACCTCTGACCTGTTGACTTCAGGCCTGCCTCTGCCCATTATGACGTTTTCAAGGTGTAGTGCAGGGAAATATGATCCGCCGTGGACACTGTGTATTTTATTTTGAAAATTAACCGGATGTTTTATTTTGTTTCTGTGCACGACTTCCTGCCCCGCACGATCTGCTCTGTGCTGAAGTGCTGCGTTGAGACGCAACCAACACGCATCTGGTGGAATTTGGGGGTGACGTTAGAGATAAAGCTGGGAGAGAGACCAGCTATATCTCAGAGCTGCAACTAATGATTATTTCATTATCGATGAATCTGATGATAATTTTCACAGTTAATCGATTAAACGTTTGGGTTATAAAATGGCAAAAGAATTATGAAAACAACACTCATCACAGTCTCCCAGAGACCAAAGTGACGTCTTTAATTTGCTTCTTTTGTCTGACCAACAGTCCAGAACTTAAAGAGTCTTCATGTATCATCATACATGACAAAGAGAAGCAACAAAAACTCACATTTATGGAGCTGAAACCAACAAATATTTAAAAGTCTTGCTTGAAAAATGACTGAAACGAGAAATAGATTAGCAGATTAGTTTTCTTTTGATCGACTAATCATTACAGCTCTACGATTAATGTGTCACTTTGGTGTTCTGAAGGGCTAGTTTGTATTCACCAAAGCACTCACTGACAGAGGCAGCTGTAGACCAGCAGCTCCTGTGTTGTGCAACGTAAAATTGCAGATTTTGTCAAAGGAGTCTGGTGGCTTAGAAGACAGCAAAAATAACGGCTTCAGTTCTGCTTTAGAAAAGGCTGTCGGACGGCAAATTAAAGTGGTAGAAATATTCTAAATATAGCATACACTTAAACTGATAAAGATTTTTTAGGTGGCGAAAATATGTTTTGTTGCTGCCTCTGTCCACAGCAGTAGATTATTTAGCTTCTGTGTCCTGTCTGCTTCTCCAAACTGGAGGCGTGCTGACTGAAATCTACTCTACTTAATACACTTTAACTTTAATGATGTTAACCACACACTTAGTCAACAAATTATGCCACTGTTACAGATTTTTGAAGATCACAAAGATGAGCAGCTTTCTCACACAAGGCATTTGATCTGGTCCTCTTGTAAATGCTGCCGTGAGAACACAAACCAACTCTAGGCAATTATACAACTCTGGAACAACATGAGTCCCTGATTCAGACCAAACGAGACCACTCTCGGGCTGACAGCAGCCTGAGACACACAAACGGGAAAATATGGTCCAGGTTTAAAAAATACCGAAGTTTAAAAACGTCACCACAACGGCAAAGTTGTGTTTTTTTAGCTTTCATTTGTATCTTCCCAGTGTGACTCCTGCAGTTTTCATATATGGTAGCATGGTTATATCGCATTCTGCACATCTGCAGCCAGTGTTGTTTTTGCTTCGGTGTCATTAGGTCAGAAAGTTTCATAGCAGCTCTGTTTGTGTTGTCAGAGCAGAATGAAGCTGTGGGTCTCTGGGGATGGCTTCAGTTTACTGCTCCTCCATAGCTACAGCCCCTTAGGACAACACACACACACTCCTAACATCAAACAAACCATGCACACACACACACACACACACACACACACACACACACCATCTCTCTCCACACATGTACAGACGGACCCCTTTAACTTATTAACTTATTGGTCGATACTTGGGTTATTTATTTATTTATTTATTGATTGATGACTCTCACCTTAGTTTTGTGTCTTATGTCTGCACCCTCATCCCCCAACTCGTAAGAAAAAAAAAGACCAAAAAAAAAAAAAGACTACACCTTGCCAGATCACCATCTACTACTGCCTTGTACACAGTTTCCTTAAAACGAGAATGTAAATATGTGGCATGATAACCACTGACCTCAGAACAGGCCTGTGTGTGCGTGCACGTGACTCTAATTGTGTGCTTATGTGTATTTATTTTTAAAGTGCATAAATTCGACTCCCTTCTGGATTGCGACATACTGTACATGCACACACATGCAGTTGGTAACACACACACACACACACACACACACACACACACACACACACACACACACACACACACACACAGAGGCAGGCCTGAGGCTGAGCAGACACACACACACACACACACTGCTTATTGAGAATGTGTATGAGCGGAGGAGTGGCAAGGATGTGGGATTCTCTAAATGACTTGGGACAGGGGAGCCTCACATCGTCTCAGTACTGTAATGAGTCTCATTATAAACATTTTCTTCAAGATGACCCGGCTCCCTGAAGGCTGCTCAGTGCTCCGATGACTCTGGTCCTATAATGTGTAACTGCTATTTAATTTTCCTCTTTTTTTAAACTCAACAATTATATCCATGACGTGCTAATAAATTGTTTATGTTTTTATCAAACATGCTTGCATCTATCTTAACCTGCACCTCTTCCTTTCTGTAAAACATGTACGACAAGATTTCATCCACTCCAACCTGCTCTCGTTCCCACGGCGTCAAATACGGCAGCCTGGTCAGTGCCTCTCGGCTTCTGTTAGCAATGTACAAAACACCCTCACAGTGTCTGTTTACGATGCCACGGGCTTTCGGCTAACTCCGATGTAACCCTGTCTGTGGCAATAACGTAGAAGTAAGGGGATGATCACACAGAAATGAGACGCTAGAGACGCGGACGCTTTAAAGACGCTTGAAACGCTTATTCAATGCGCGCTAGCTACTGGTGTCTGACGCTCAAAAAAGTTGAAAATATTTTAACTTTTCAGCGTCTACGCACGTCTAAAAAGATGCCAGAAAAACGCCCGTCTAAAAAGACGCTTGAACGCCGGTCAGACGCGCCGTATCATAGGAAAACAATGGTTTTACTGGCGTCACGTTTCTAGCGTTTCATCTCGGTGTGATCGCTCCCTAAGTGCGAGAAAGTCTGAGTACGCAGGCAGGGAGGGGTGGTGGATGGTTCAAACACACACCAGACTTCACCCAGAGATTGGTATTAGTGTCTCATGTAAAACCAAAAATTTGGTTTTATAAACCAAACTGCGTAGTTTTGTTACTTAACATTAAGTAGTTTTGATGGAGAAACCAAAAGACACTGTCGCATGTAACGAACGAAAACTGACACTAGCGCATCAAGGTTTGAAGCATATGCCCACTGACCGAGTGCTGGTATCTGACAGGTTGGGAGTGAGAGCGTGTTGTCCAAACTTAGTAACATGTTTCAGATTTATTCAGATACTTTTTTGGGGGAACAAAATAAAAACTAATGTAAAATTGTAGCTGAAGTGAAAGCCAGTGAATTTAGGATGTCCAGTACAACAATAAGCCGACCTGGTTGCCAGTATAAATGCTGTCATTGTATGTTACTGCAAACCAGGGATAACTTATATCTGTGTGTTATTATGTAGTGGATGTGTTAAAACATTTTGTTTCAAAAACACATTGGTAAAAACAATCGTTTCTGTGGCACCACTCTCGCTAGAAATGCATCTATGTCTCTGTTAAAAGAAAAAGCTGTTTGTGGCACGATACCTGCTGGAAATGCGACGATATCTGTGTACAAAAGAACCTGTTTCCTGGCACTATCTCCACTAGAAATACAGTGATATCTCTGCAAAACAACTGTTTTTCATGGCACTGTGCACACTGGAAATGCAGTGATGTCTTGGTAAATAAGAAATACTTTTT